ACAAAATGGAATGAGTCTGGGTCCCTGAATCACTGCTTGGAAGGGAGGCATCTCAGAAGAGGTTGCTCCCATCAAGGTTGCACCAGACAAAATGACAACTGGATATGAAGGGGAGACAAAAGGTATTGGGAATGAGTGGGATATTAAAAGAAACAAGAAGACAATGTTAAATCAGTGGACCTTGATCAGTGAAGGGAGGAAAAAACTTAATGGTGGGCTAAGCCACCAAGAGAATCAGCTTTATCAAACAGCACTTAATAGCACCATGGTTAAAAGAAGTTGTTTCTGTTATTACACTGAACGCTAACTGAAACAGTCACCAAAGTTAGAATAAATCACCAGTAAAATTGATGCAAAAAGCATTATTAGGGACTGAGAATGTAGCACGTGCGAGGTCTTGGGTTCAATTCCTATTACCACAAAAATAAATTTTGGTATAAATGAAAAAGAACACATGAGTTGGCAGAATCCAACTTAAAGAGAAAGCGGGGAGAGGGAGAGATTTAGTACCTATGTGGGGCAACAAATGTGTTAATGAGCTCAGTAGTGTCAATCATTTCACAATGATATGTAATATTACACTTTGAATATATACAATTTTTATTTGTTGTTTTCAAAAACACTGAAGAAGGAGACAGGATGTCTGAGAGACTCTGCATCATAATAAATTCCCTGGACAGAGGTACAGGAATAAAATTCTTTAAGGTGGCAGACAAACTTTGGCCTGTCCAGCATTCCATCCTCATCCTCTACCTCCTTCCATGTCCAGTGAGTGCCAGCCAAGCTACTTGGATGTCCACACACACACACCATAGATCTCACTATATTAATCCTCAGAGGAGGTTGAGATCTGGGAAACTATCTTCACAGCAGACCTGGGCTCCATGAAGTCCAGGGGTGGCACCCAAGGAAAAAGCCTTCCTTAGGATGGACTGAATACACCTTTCTCCGCTCTGGACATTGATTCTAAGAACTGCTCCCCCTGGATGAATTCCATGAATAGATGCAGATCCCAGAGACAAGTGGGCACATCCCAAGCTACAGATGTGGGGCCTGGCAACTGAACTGACAACTCAAATAGCATTTCTCACCTATGAGCCAGGCCAGCTGGTCTGTTCCACTGACTGGGAGCGTGCCTTAGAAATCTGCTCACTTTGTGAATTGTGTCACAATTCACCCTTTTGTTGTTCCGGAACATTCTGGAGCACAGAAGACCAATTGCCCCTCAGAGTGACATCTGTTTGAGACAAGTAAAGGCTCAGACCTGTAACCTCTCTATGTCATCCTGAAGGCAGCAAATGGTCCTTCCTCCTTTGCCAGGCTCCCCTTTTCAGTGGCTCAAAAACCAAAAAGAGGGAAAAATACACTATCAAAGTTAGTACTGTAAAGGAACCCCACGAAACAAGCGCATTTTACAAAAGCCAGAGTACAAAATAAGTATCCATTCCTCTTCTAAAGACTGATAATTCCTGTTGACTATAGAAAAGTAAGTAGGAAAACATATGTATCTGATGTAGTCTTATTCACAGAAAGGGGTGGAAAGCTAAAAAGAAAAGGGCAACAGGCTATTCTGTTCATGTTGGCCTATCTTTTGGAGTCAAAGTATAGAAACATCAGCTTTGAGGATCAATCCTGGAGATAAAAGAACAAAGAGAGGATGTTCCTCTGGAACTCTTCAAAGCCAAAATGCACCTGCCTTCAAGAGTCACTAGTGGTGATAACTATTATAGGCAGAAGATGTAAACTCTAATGCCAGTTATTTTTATGTCTTATCAATTCAACAAACAATTTGAACCAGAAATTTCAAATAAACTGATAATTCTTTGTTAAGGGTAAAACATATGCCAGTGACTTTACTAGACACTTTATATACTTAGTATCACTTAATTCACATGACAGGATTCTGAGTTAGGTGATTTTATTCCATCTTACAGGGAAAAACCACATTGAGTCTTAGAAAAGTTAAGGGTACCTGCCCATTATAAGTGCCCATTTCACCTATAAGCAGCGAAAGGAATCAAACTCATTTTTGTACGATTGAATCCTTTGCTTACAACCACTGTATGTATCAGTGATTGGTAGGAATGCCTGAGACACAGGGTAGAAATTTGGAGGACAAACCTTGAACATGGCTAGTAATAAGAAACCATCCATGCTTTGGAAGTGCTGCCAGATAAGTTTGATTGCTGCCAAAAGCTAGACCCTTCCCCTCTGTGCACTTCCAGGCCACTGGGGAACAGTTATAAGGGCAGTAATTTACCACAGCTCTCAACAACCACCTAGGCAAAAATAATAATAAAAAATGCAGGGATCCTCAAGATCACCAGAAGGGTCCAGTTACCTTCTGAGGTGATTTGAACCTGCTGATTCTCTTCAAAAGGAAAGCTGAAGAAGCTAGACTCAAAAGGCTACACTCTATGTTATTCCATTACTAGACATTCTGGAAAAATGAAAGCTGCTGTGTAAGGAGAAAATACACATTAGCGCTTACGAGAAGCTGGAGGGTGGGGCAAGAATTAACTGCAAAAGGATGTAAGAGAACATGTTAGTATGATGAAATTGTATTCTTTTCTAATTGTGGTGGACTTTACATGATTGTACATTTGTCAAGACTCACTGAATTTTAAACTTAAAATTGGCAAGTTTTATCATATGTAAATTACACTTCAATAAAGCTTTCTGATATATAAACAACCACTAGGTGATAGATAGATCTGGAGTTAAATTGTTCACTGTGTAACTGCATTGCAGGAAACCCAGGAACCTGAATCCCTGGGGCATTAAACCTTCCCAGGGGAAGATCTCCTGCAGTTAGCCACAGGAGGCTGACACTATGACCAGTGGGTGGGAAGTTCAGGCAAAGGCTTCTGTGGCAGTTCGAATAAGAAGCTGATTGCTAGGGTTACCTTGGCTTCCGGTCTCCTTTCCCAGTTTTTCAGAGGCCACACTGTGTACTTGATAGAACCCCTCATCTGGAAAATTGCTTTATGCCAGATTAAATACGACATCACTGTTTCTAACCTATATGTCACAGGATGCACCTGTCTTTATCTCCATATCTTACTGCATTTTGAAAGCCGTACCTATCTCTACATGCAGCCCTAAAATGATGGGAGAAAAATCTTACTAAAAATACTAAACATCATAGCTTGCAGCTGCCTCAAAAAGCTTGAGATGGATTCAAAATAAGTATTTCAGTAGAAATATGACTACATCAGCTTTGTCTACCTGTTCACCCAGCTCCAGGTCACTTGTCCCGCTCCACATTCTCTTGAGTAAAGGCACTTTGCTTCTTTTTTAGTACCGGGGATTGAACTCAGGTCTTTGCGCTTGCAAGGCAGGCCACCGAACGGCTGAGCTAAATCCCCAGCTGTACTTTGCTTCTTGATGCAGCCAGTTATTCCCTTTGCTTTCTGTCTAAGACCTCCTACTTGAGGGAGAGCCACAGACTTCTGATCCATGTTATTTAGTAGCTCAAATGGAAAAGGAACACAAGGCACACAAAGATGGTTTAGCCTTGGAAATAATCAGACCAGTCATGCAAATTAATACGCATTGAGGTCATACCCCAAAAGTTGAGTGGCAGTCCAGTATAATAATGGCTGCCAGAAAGAATGAATTTTAGAGAAAAATGAGAATTGAAAAGGTAGCCCAACCTCAGACTCCTTTCTAAAGTTATGGATATTATGTCATTAAGGTGTGTGATCTCCTAGCCAGAGGTGTCTGGGAGGAAGCCATTCACTATACCTCACAGCCAGATGTAGACTAGTCTGCTAAGAGTTTGTTGGATTTTTTTGAAATTTGAAAAAATAAAGAAAATAAAAGACAACTTTTTTCCAAAGCACTTTTTAATCATTTACATTAAAAGAAGGAGTATAGCAGTAAAGTAGCCAGTCCTATAGACTAGGACTTAAACATCATGTAAAATAGCTAAAGCCAGATGATAAAGCCACCCAAAAGCACAGAACCACCTAAACCTGAGATTTTTTTTCAACTTCTGCACTGATTTATCAGATCCTTTGCATAGATTTCTGACATCTGTTCCTACAAAAAAAAATTAAATTTTCACTTTCTTATAAATTCCAGGCTTAAATATAAGAATCACATAAAATAACTGATACAAGTATTTATTCTATAATCATAAATGCTACCATTTTATCACTGTCATCTGATTTTATTATAATCTAGAGCCATCTAAATAAAAGTTCATGATGAGACAAAAGAAAATTAATTTATCTATCCCACAGAAAGCTGGCTAACGTTTATTGTTCTTGTTCTTATTCTTGTTGTTGTTATTGTTTACAAAAAAATGCCAGCAGTAGAGAAAGGTTGGGAGAATTGATTGGAAGTTTAACTCCAGTTTTCTGACCTGCCTTTCAAATTAGATTACAAAGTAAAGTGTTCTGACTCTTAAATTGGTAGAAAAGGAAAGGAAACAAAATCAAGTGCTTCATCTGAAGATCCTTCCAAGATTGGTTGGCAGTACACAATTTAATGTATAAAAGGTCCTTTCTCCAGAAAACTCAGAGAACTTTACAGATATAACACAAAATGCCAAGTTTACTAATCTAGTATTTACATAGCATTATTTTAAGAGCTAGTGAGAAAACAAAGTTGGGGATTCGGTTACTCAAGCCCTTCAGATATTAATCTGCCAAATTAAGCCCCAAATTCATTTTAGGCATGGGAAGGGCTACAATGAACTAGGACTATTCATTAAGCAAATCATCTTGTACAAAGAACCAACAGAATCTATACTGAGTTCCCTCATTTAAGTTTCTTTTTTTTTTTTTCTCGTTGAGTTTATTGGTACATTTTAGGTATACAGTACAGTTACATTCATCATTGGGATCTTGTACCTTTACATGACAGGTCTTGGTTCTCATTTTTCCCCATAATCCTGCCCTCCCTTCACTCCTTCCACCCTCCCCTATTTACAAAGACTTTGCTTCCATTCTTTCCTTTACTTGTATTTTTTTCTTTTCCCTTATTTCCTTTCCCCTACCCTTCCCATGTCCCCTACATATAATTGGCAATGTGAAATAGGAAGAAAAGGCCTAATTTAAGTTTCTTAATTTCCACCTGCCTCCATAGGTATAGGATCCATTAGAACCATTGTGCTCATTCCCTTCTAGCAAACCCACCCTTAAAGAACCTCATTTCCATTGGGAAATGCATCCCAAGGAGCAGAAGATTCCCAAGAAAACTCATCAAAACAGAGCAAATATCCTAAGTGTTCAGTGCTGTACCTAAATATCTAAATACCACTACTAAAGAAAAATACTTCTAGATTCTCCTGCAGATATCAAAGTAAGAGAAGTAGACTCTTTACAACAAACATTTTATTTCTTTTTCACATTAAGACCTAGACACTTTATTTGGGTTTCTGTTTGAAGACAAGATCATAATTTATAAGGTAACCATCATTATAGACATAAAGTTTTTGGTCAAAGGGGTGATAATTAATGCTCTGCACTGTTTCCTGCATCTTAGGCATGAAAATGGCCATATTACCTTCTTTCCCTGTATTTGTGTCATAGTAGTAAAAAATCTCTTCTGCTCTGGTATTCAAAGTACGGGTGGCATAGAGAACCCCACATACCATGAAGGTGCTAGAAACAGATGACTTGTACTGCTTGGTAACCCAAGTGTTTAGCACCTCTAGTGAGGTGTCATTGAGCAGACTTATCACTATGTTACCAGTGTTGGCTTCAGTTGCATAAATCACCCACAGTCCACGTTCATCCACCGAAAAGTCAATATCTTGCCAAGCAACATTAGCATAAGAAAAGCGGTTGTTATAGACAGCATTAGGAAGATATTGAGTCACAGCCACTACATTGGTGGTCAAGTTAATTCTGGCAATGTTCCCAGTGTTATACCAATTGACATACATGTTGTTCTTGTAAACTGTTGTACCACTACCTTGGCCATAGGTAATTCGAGATTGTCGATTTTGTGTGTACAACAGTAAGTGATCAAATGTGTTGTAGAGTCTGTAATACTCAAGTTTCCTCCCATCTGTTTCCAAAGCTGCTACCCAATACAGTGTTTCATTTGGATGTTCAGGAGAATAAGCCCGACCCCAGGCACCATACTTATAGGAAAACCCTCTCCAGTTGAGCTGAACCACAGATGGTCTGCTGATGTTCACCACACCTCCATGACTACAGTTCCCTATACAGAAAAGAAAAATTAAAAAGACATTCTTAGAGAAAATGAACAATAGGATACAAATGATGTGATATCCCCAAAAGGAAGCATCCATCAATAGTTTTCCTGTCAAAGTTCAAAGCCAACAACAGCTCTGAAGACCACAAAGCCCTCTTGGTTTTAATCTCATTGTGAATCCACTGTCAGACCTACGGAGAACCACCTTTTGTTTCCACAGATGGGCTCTCATTCTGGGAAACAGGAATAACGAACTTGCCAAGAGCTGTATTTAAAGGTTTAGAGGATCCAGAGAGCAAAAAATGGGGAAAACTGTTTGAATTAATATATTTTCTTCTAACAGAAAGCATTTTTGCAAATATTATCTTACTTCATTTTTCATACACAGAAATGAAGAAAATACGTTTGCCCCATAATCTTACCCTATTTTCATAAAGTCAGAAGGTGCTATTTGCCACAGTCAGCCCCCAGGGTAATTGTGATACAGGAGAAAATGGCTCTGGCTGAGTCTCCGTGTCCTTCCCTGGGTGCCTGAGTACATATCCATACAAGGCACCAAGCTAATCTCAGAAGAGGGAGTTTTAAATATAGCTTTTTATAGGACCAGGAAGACAGTCACATAATGGTGGGATTTCAACCTTGAGAAGACAGGAAGTTATTTCAGGACAGCAATGCCTGTTCTTGCCAAGTGCATAGCCCATCACATAAATCACTGGGTGACCATCTTGCTGAGAGTTATAAGTTGAGTCCTGCCATTCGTTACCCATATGCTGCTGTGCCACGGAACGACAGGCATGTATTTCCTTCCTATTTTGATATGGTCATTGTCACAATGTGTACAATCAAGTGGGACCAGATGCACTGGTCCATTGAATCTACATTTCCTGTAACACTTGGGTAAATGACTCAGGCTGGGCAACTGGCCCTTCACATTGCAGTCTCTCTGAAATGCCTGCCAACCCAAAGCAATTATGAGCTATAGAAAATAAAATAAAATCCTCCAGTATTTTTAGAATAGCTAAACAAAGAATTGGATATATATTTTTCTGCGATCTTAACAAATACTGTTTTCTTTTAAAAACTGGTGATATGATTTATTGATAACAAACAAAATCTGACTTCAAGTATATGAAAGGTCATATTCTCTCATCCTGCTGCTCAGAGCACAAAAGGTGAGGGAAGGAAGGAGCAGAATTTTAATTGTGGGGTCTGACTTTAAATGCTTGGGGGGAATCAGGGAGCTATGGAAGGCACATAAGTGAGCTGCAGCCAAAAGCAGAGCTCCAAAGAATTGCCTGAGATTAGCACTGTGGAGATGCAGGGAACAAAGCTCTTGTCACTGAGCCTCTGCCTCTGTCCAGCATGGAAAGGCCCATTCTTTTCCTTGCTACATGTTTTCCTCTCTCCTCCTCCTCATCAAGAACTGCTCAGCGGTAAAACCATTAGTAGAATTTTGCTTTTATTTTTCCAATCTGCAGAGACTGTTTGGTCTCAGAATTAAATACGTGCTCCTTAAATGCTCTCATATATCCACAGTTGGTAGAAAGCCAGCCAACCATACAACAGGTAGAAAAATGAAACCACTCTGTACCCAGCCTCAAAATAATTTTGCATATCATTAAACAGAACACAGTCACAGGTTTATTTTAATAATGCATGCACCATTTCATAAATAAAAGAGCAACGCGTGTTCAGCCAAGAGACTGCTCTCCACTAAAGAAATAATAAATAAAACTATAAATTATTATTTCTCCTCCTAAAAGTGATCCCTTAGATGAATGCCTGTTTGCTTTTGCTTATGAAACAATGCATGAATTATTAAAATAAAGTTAGTGGTGTGTTCAGTTTAATGAAAACAAAAAGTGTTCCAGTTTCCATATGCTACAAACTGGATTTTTTTTTTTTTAGTTAAAATATCTTCCTGAGAATTTAGTTATTCAACTTCATTTCACTGTGAGGTTATGAAAGAAAGTCACTTTTTTTTCTTTCAAAGTGGCAGATTTAAGAATTGTTTGCTTCACTGAGTCTTGTCTTTCTAGAAAGAAAATATCACAAACCCACAGTAACAAAGTATTTCAGGAAATATTATGATGTATATAACTCCTTCAAGTGTTATTGTGCAGTTAAAGATAAACAATTTTATATCCAGACATGGAAATATGAAGGAACCAAAATAAACCTCAAAAATTACTATTGCTTACTATTACTATTACAGTAATAATTCTATTTTTGTACTGGGCCTAAGTTTCTTCATTTTAAAGAAAAATAATACCCCAAGACTGTTAGAAAGAAAAGAAAGTTTGTAAAATATATCTATAAATGGCAAGGATCACCATTATAATCACATCACCCAACAGGTGAGGGGTTACATGACTATCTCCTTTCCTCGGTAGTGGCTTGAGGAGGTTTCTTCGTCCAGTCGGATAACCCCAGTAGTCAGAACAGGGAGGGCCAACAAAGGCACCAAATTATATTTGTGAAATAAAGAAACAGAAGACTAATCAAATCACCTAGACTCCAACTAACGCTCATGTATAGAGCACTAGCTCCCACCCTGCTGCCCATCTGATTTTTCAAAAAGCCCTACCGTGTACTCCACAGAACATAACAACAGGGACCTTCTGCACAAGTAACAGGTGCAGCATTGGTTGGCAATCTCTTCATGAAGCAGTTCACTAGATCATCCCCTGATATTCTGAAAATATCCAGGGGAGCCACAGTAGTGAGAATTTAAACTATCTCTGTTTTGGCTTTTTAAAACTATCATGCATCTGGGCACGGAGGTGCACACCTGCAACCCCAGCATTCAGGAGTCAGAAGCAGGAAAATCACAGAGTTCAAGCCCAGCCCAATCGCCATAACAAGATTCTACTTTAAAAAAAAAATGTAGCTGTTTTTAAAAACACAAAAATTCTATACCTGAAAGGGAACTTTGATCTTGGGTCAATGCCCTAAAATGCACTCTCTCACCTGGGCAACTAAACTTTGAACCACAAGATGATAAAATATGATTGACTTGTGACTGTGACAATTAGGCAATTAAAATGATCATAATCATAAAACAAGTAAGAGTAAATTGACTCTGAATTGTTGGATATCTGCTGGTTCACAGTCTTCGCTAATGCTGGTATTTTAGCAGGTCATCCTGTTTTTCATACCCCATTCAATTACTAGCCATTTACTGAGCACCTACTATGTACCAACAGAACCCAACATCACCAAGCAAAATGGTGATTGATCCCAGAGTATTCCCATTACATGTCACCAATGTTCAGCCATTTAGATTCAGAGGAAAAACAGCGAGTGAAATCAGTTGTTTGCAGGGGAAAAATTAATGATGAGAAGGCCAATTATTTTAAATTAGATAGTTCTATGAATTGAAGCAGGAAAACAAATTATTTGCAGCAAAAAGCAAATATAAAGTGCATTTTAAATCCCCAAATACATGTGCTGATTCTAAGTTTAAGCTGACCACAGAGTTAGCAAACTATAGCCGCCAGGGAGGACCCCAGAAAATGCAGCATTACTTTAGAGCTGAGACTTGCCCACAGTCCTTTTTTGTTCTGTGCAACTCTGCAGCGAAAAAAAAGCAGACAGGCCAGATTTTAAATTCTCATAATAGCGAGTAACTTTAATTAAAGTCTCCACAGGCTCACAACTTTGTGGTGCTTGGGGATTTTCCAATTCTGCATTATCAACCAATCCAAACAGAAAGAGAGCAAGTGAAAGAAATTGATTTAAAAACAGGACAAAAGTCAGTTTAATATAAACATCATAAATATAATATGAACAAAGCTGCAGGAGAGCCAAGTGCCTTGACCCAGGTACAGCCAAAGTTGTGGGAAAGTGAGGGGAACTCTGGGTTCAGTTCGCTTAAGCAACACAGCAGGGCTGAGATGGTTCAGAGAAGTCTACGTGTGAAGTCTAAGTGTGAGGGCTGAGGGGGAAATCCCAGAAAAATTCTAACAAAAATAATCCAACAGACTCACTTGTTTTCCTCCCTAGATACTAAGCAGCGTATTTTGTCCCTCACAATCATCATTGGGTTACAATCTGAGAAGTCAGGGAGTCCTTAGATGACCAGGTAATGAAGACCCTTGCATTTCAACCTCAGCTCTGTTATCAGCTACCTGTGTAGCCTCAGGAAAAGCAATGTCCTTGCTACTCAAGTGCTGCCTTTAAGACATGGATGGGCTAATTTCAATGGCCCCAAATGTCCCTTCTTGAGCTAAAATGTCCTTATTCTAAGAGATTTATAGAAGACTACGCCAGAAAAACCCATTCCATGAGGGATATTTGACACCTGTTTGCTGATTATCAGAGGTTGTCATGTTGCTTGACTTCTGCTTCAGACAGCCCTTGTGGTCCACAAGAACCATCTTTCCCTTCCAGCACATATTTACATTACTGATCCCAGACCAAATTTAGCTTTAATTTCACAGAGCACAGACCCTGGTCTTTGCCCTAAACATCCTCTGACATTAGACCAGGCCAGCTTCCAAGCTGTAGGCAGGAAAAGTGTTCCCTGAACAAGACTTAAGCATCTTATAAGTATGGTCAATATCTAATAGATGCCTTAAACAAATCAGCTGTACTGACATGGAACCGGAAATGCACAGTCCAAAGGAAAGCACTGTGAGGATTGGAATGAATAAGTATAACAAAGGCTGTATGACTTGATGAAAAGAGACAGTCCTATTGCAGTTGAGATGCTCACAGCCTACAAAGAGAAGTCGCCTGTGATATGGGGGTCTCCAAAGGACAGGGCTGAATGCTGCAGCCAAGAGGCTGCCTTTAGTCTACTGGGAGGGATGTGCTGCAGTGCACAAGGTTCTAGCCCTACTTCTGTTCACAGCAAGGCTTTCACTGCAATTATCATCAGGGTACATGCACTGATTAAAGAGCCCTGAGCTCCCCGTGTGCTGCTTTATTAATCCCCATTGCAACCCTACAAAGTAGATACTGTTATTCTCCCATTTTACAAATAAAGAAATTAAGGATCTTGTCTCATAGCCACAGAGCAAAGAAGCTCAAGCCTTCAGGATTATAAACTTGTGCTCTTGAGGCCTCCACTCGGATATCTCCTTTCATTAGAATATTTACAGAACTGCCTGTTCCAAGGCATGATTAACCCCGGAGAACTGGTGAAAGAGGGAGGTACCACACTGCCCTTCAGAAACGCACAGTCCCGGACAGACGCAAGACACAACCAGAAAGCCCGCAATGCGAGGCCATTCCCTTTATTCTCACTGAACCCAGCAACACAGACTGCAGCAGGAGCTCAGCATGCACTTAAGGGAAGAATACCCGGAAAAGCAAAGAGGAGTAAGAAGAGAGAGCAGCAGAGAGGGGAATGGCTTCAGAATCCAGGCACACACCCAGCTCATCAGATAAAAGAGCCAATCAACCCTTACTATCGTTAGGAAAGCAGATGCCACACAGACTTTTTAGGCTTTCCCCAGGGCCCCTGGTAGCTTCTCTGCCACCATAGAGATGGATTCCTGTTAGTAACTCCAAAGGGAACATTTGTAACTTGTGGATTTTGTTTTAAATCAGCTGTTGTATTCTTTTCTTGTGAACCCCAAAATATGATAGTAAAACTATCTGGAGGAGGGGAAAAGGTTCTCTGAAAAAGATCAAGGGGCCTAGAAAGGACGAGGAGATTTAAAATTTGGAAGCGTAAACTCAATAAAAATGCTGCCCTACCTCCATCACAACAACCCCAAATCCCTTTCCCAGCCTATTCGTGGCTCATAAAAATATAGTGTGCTTACCTGGAGCAGGAGGAGGGGGCAGGAGAGGACTGTGTTCACTTTTAGAAGCCTCACATTCCTTCAGCTTTTGCTTCAGCGCCAAAATTTCTCGGCGAATGACAAGGACATTGTTTTTGTCTAACGTCTCCAGCTTCGCTACCAGGAGAGTCATATTCCTTATCTAAGGAAATAAAAATTCAGAGTGACTTTATATTATTGTGCAATTTCTTTCATAAACATTTCAGGGCTGAATTTGTCATTTAGTGAAACATTGCTGCAGAATACACCAGAGATTCTTCTGAATGGTTTCATTTGGAAGAATACATTTTATGGTTTAGTGTGAATGTCTGTCAGATCTCAGGCTGATGTGCGTAACAAGAAGAAAATGGCAAATATTTTAACAGCTTTAATAATAGAGCACAAACTCACTCTAGGCATCCACAAATGTCCATTAAAGTTCATTTCTAATAACCTTCCCTGTAAACTCATGTATACTCGTGTTGTATTATAATTAAGATTCTAATGAATGAGGAGGGCTCGAGAAAACTTAAATTCTAAAATATGTTACTAGAATTCTCAATTATAGCCCATGTCATGACTGTGCAAGTAAATTCTCACTGATATAAATTACCCAACCATAATGTCAATGTGGTGGTCTTTATCCACAGATCTTAAAATCCTTTCTTAAAACATACTCACAAAAAAAAAAAAAAATCTTAAATGAGGTTACCAGTAGGTGGAGAATTCCAAGAGGGATTAAGAGTAGATGTCCATTCAAAAGGACGAATGACTTCTGACCTGTTCATATTCAGGTATATTATAGATTTCTAGACCCATAAGGATAAATCCAGAGCAGAGACAATACCTGACCTAGCAAGGCCATGGACAGCCGGTCAGATTCATGTCACTTTCTTTCTGGAGAACTTGAAAGACTATTTGATTGTGGGGCAGGATTATAACCATTAAACAATACCTGCTCCTCGGTTAATGTGTTCCGAATGTGCTTAACTTACTACCCAAAAACAGGCATCTACCCAAAGCAGAATATGGATGTGCCATGTGTCATGAGAGAGTGCTAGAATTATAATTGGTGAAAGAGAGATTTGTATCCAAGTCTAGCATTTTTCCATAGTCACTAAAAAGAATTTAGTATCAATATTCTGTTAGATGAGTGAGTTCACTCCTTACCTCCACTTCCAGCTGGTTAACAATTTCTGTGCTTCCAACAAAACTCTGCTTCAGCTGTATGATCAGTTTTTCCATCTCCCTCACTTCTAGCTTGATCAGCTCAAAGTCCAGTTCAGTGTAGGAAATGCTATCCTTCTCCATAATTTCTACTCGGACAGTTAAGTTTAAAAGCTTCTTCTCATACACACTGATTAACTGGACATATTCTTTCACCTGAAAGGGAGTCAAAAACCTTGATTCAATTCCCAAAGTAATATTGAAGAGTCTTCCTTCACTATAAAATCCTTGAATACCATTTGATTCCTGTAAATCATCAATCACTATTTTGTTTTGTAAAAACAATGAAACAAAAATATTTAGCCAAGTTCTTAAAATCTACCTGTGATGGTTAATCTTGATTTTCAATTTAATTGAATTAAGAAACACCTAGGAAATTAATAAAGCACACTTCTAGGTGTGTGTGTGTGTGTGTGTGTGTGTGTGTGTGTGTGAAGGTATTTCCAGATATATTGGGCATGTGGGACAGAAAACTAAGGAGGAGACACACCCTGAAAGTATGTAGCACTATCCAATAGGAAAGGGGCCTGGATAGAACCAAAGCAGAAGGAGAAAGGCTGCTAGCACAGGCTCTTGCTAACTATTCTTTTTCTTCTTGACTGACAAGAAACTAGCAGCTTCTGTCTTCCATACCTTACCACCATAATGTTTCTGCCCCACAGAGGCCTACAAGTAATGGAGCCAGCTGCTCATGGACTGAAAAGTCTGAAACCATGAGCCAAAGTAAACCTTTCCACTTTTAAGTGTTAGTCTCAGGTATTTGGCCACAGCAATTGAAAACCTGAGTACCTCACCATCTAAATGCAAATTAAAAGGAAAATATTACTTTAATTTGGGAGCAGGATTGCACTTACTCAAACTAAAAAATATTTTACTTCAGGGTCATCACACACACACACACACACACACACACTCCAATCTCTGTTTTAATGTTTGAAAATAATAGCTCCCCAAACTAAACTGATTTGACTCAGCCTCTTTGCATCCCTCTTCTTTTCAATACATTTACTGTACACTGGGGTGTTTCAACTTCACACTATTGATATTTTAGGTAAGTTTCTTATGGGAGGCTGTGTTGTGTACTACAGGATAATCAGCTGCTCCATATGCCAATAGCATCCTCCCACCCACCAGATGTGACAACAATAAATCTCTAAGTACATTGGCAAATGGTCCCTGGGGACCAAGTAACTATCACCCTCTCTTTGTTTAGAACCATTGCTCTAAATTTAAGGATTTTATAGAAAAATGAGAAATTATTAAGTAGAACTCCATCTTTGATGATCATTTGCAATGAGTTCTGAGCCTCTCTGCCTTTTACAAAATGGCATAAAACTCAACTTACTACACAACGTAAGAGTGTGTGTGCAACTGTAAAGTGCACATTTCATTAAGTACGCTAACATTTATTCCAAGAACTGATTATTGCAATCAGACCTTTAAATTACACATTTGTTGCATATATTTGAATGTCTGATCATTAAGTTAAAATACTTCCAAAAATTCCCTTGGTGGTTTGGTGTATAATTGGAATCTCCAAATGCATATTTCAATAAACAGTTGGTGGTACTTTCTCTGTCTGATCTCTAGAAGAAATGTCATGGCTTTTTAAAGAAACTGCTCATTAAAAGTTACTGGTTTTACTTTCTTTTTAAAAGCCTGATTACAAATGATGCTTCTCCCCAAACTGCACTAATGTCAAGTAGCTCATCCACAGCTCCTGGACGAGTACAGAGTCATATGCTGACCTCTAATCCTTCCAAAGGCAGCCCTAACTGCTGTCATTGTAGCCCTCCTCCACTTAACCCCACTGAGCAAATTACAGTAGACTCACAGGCCACAGATCTAAAGGACTAGGGCTTCAGGCAAAAAAGATTTTAATAAAAGTTGAAAATACAGCCCTTGGCACTGCTAGTGTATCTCCTCGGGCTACTAAGGCTCACTACCATCAGATGTGCCATCACTTGGATGCTGTTAGGGCTGGTGACATTTTGGTGGATAAACAGGTTTAAAAAGTTGTATCGAGGGTGTTATAAGAAAACAATTTCCTCTCAAAAATATACACACAGATATAAGGTAGCCAGGTTTCAATTTCTTCAAAAATGGTCCTAAAACCTTGCCTATGATTAAAAATAATAATAACAATAGAGTGCCAGTCCATGAAGAAATGGAAGTTTGAGAAATGAATGCACTTGTTGGCATTTGGCCTTGGCAGGTCTTGGAACAAATGAAATACCCCAGCTTTCCTGGAACATTTTGGTGGCACGTCTCAGCTGTTGTTCTGCAAAAATGAGTGATTCAACTGTCAAATCTGCTGAATAAAATGTGGCTCTCTGATTTGCACAGAAAACCAAAGCATGGCCTGGAGTCTGTGACCTGTGAGAAGGTATGTAGCCTGCCCTAGTCAGCTACAAAATGAAAGGTCTCACAATCCATTTGGGACAGAAAAAAAATATATATTTTAGGTTCTTTCAGCTGACATTTAAAGGAAAGCCCAGTGGTGTTCAGGAAAACTGGAACTACCTACAGAATTGTAGAAGGAATTATCCACAGAATTATAGAAGGCAAGAGAGATTTGAAGATAGGCCTGAAAAACTTCCCAGTGTGAACTTTACTAATTGAGGCAGATTATTAGAATCAACCTTTCACATGTATGGATCTGTTACACTGGATAGCATGAGTAACACTGAATGTTATAGCTCTTCCTGGGAGGCACAGGCCCAGCAGAGGCAGCCAGATTTTGCCCAAGAATGTGTCTAGGCCCACATTCCTGCCATTTATTGTACTTAACTTCTCCATTTTTAGAGAATATTCTTGGATTTAGAGCTGTGGATCTGACAGGGTGGTGCTGGTGGAGGTGGTGGTAATGGTAGGGATTTATTCCCTGGAGCATTCGGCAATTTCTGGAGACACACTGATTGTGAGAGCCGGGAGGTGGGTCGGTGCTCCTGATATCTAGAGGTCAGGAATACTACAAAACATTCTAGCAAGAATATGGATCTCATCTTGAGTGGACACATAGCTGTCTCAACAACTTCCTCCTCATTCATCATGACTACAATTTCAGCATTTCAAGAGCGTCCTTTGTTCAAACTGCTAGGCTAACGCTCAGAGCTGCTGCCATTGTATTTTATCTGTTATGCACTTAGTCATAAAAAATTAAAGTTTGTTTAGAGGTCAGTTTTGCGGTGGTTGCTTTTTTTTTACAAAAATAAAATGTGGCCTTGTATTAAATATGGATGTAATACTATTCAATTTAGCTATTAAATTAAAGCATTAGTCTGGTACTGGTTCATATTTCTGTGAGTTCCTCAAAGCCTATGATCATATCTATGGCCAGATTACTTAAAAGAATAATTTTTCAACATACTGTTTTTTTCAACATTACTTTAAAAATAAATGCAGCTAAATTAATTGAGCCTGAAGTAACCATTAATACATAGAGTACCTCAGTACTAAATCCACCTGAGCTCAAATCTGACTTCAGTTCCTTTTTAAATGAGTTTTATTGGTACATTTGAGATATACATAATGATAACATTCATCATAAGGAATTTGTACCTGTACACGATATAATTTGATCCTTTTTTCCCCATTCCTCTCTGCTCCTTTTTTCCCCTTCCTCTCTTTATTTATAAAAGCTTTGTTTCCACTTTTTCCTTCTATTCATTTTTTCCTTCCTTCCTCCCTCCCAACTTCAGGTCTTAATGGAGAAATCACTTCATTTCTCTAAGCCTTCGTTTTCTTCCCAAACTGTTAATAATGATATCAAGCGTACAAAATTATTATAAAGGCTAGAGAAAATGTACATTAAGTGCCTAGCTAATAGATGCCCTACAAATTATAGAAATTAATAGAGAAGCTGTGATTTCAGTGTCTTCTGATCTGACCTGTTAATTTAATATATTTCACTTCACAAAACATTGCTCGATCAATGTTGTTTGTTTATGAGTTGACAAAATGTCTCCCTGGCTGCCTCAGCCTACTCATGCATGAGGATCTATTAGCAAATGTGTCATATTAAATACCTTGATCCAAAGACCATAAGCCTCCAGAGAAAGAAAAAATCCCAAGCTGACTTTTGTCATGTCCCCTTCCTAGCACAGCCACAAAGAGATATGTCATGAACAACAGAAACATATAAAAGGCTTTCAGCATGTTATGCAGAGGCAGTTCCCTGTCTTCTCCGTGTACTGACAGATAATGAATCAAGGTAAGGCAGTCAAAATCCTTTTCTACTGACCTGCCCAAAATGGGCATTCCCCCAGGACCCTCAATAAATGGTGATATACAAGGCAATCTAGGGACAGCTACAATAATTCACCTGGAAGTAGAAAAGCCCTCAGCTAAAGAGAGAACTTTGGGTTTGAAGGCATTGGTGACCTACTGCATCTCTTCTTAGGTCTGCACAAGAGGCTGATAACAGCCTAGTCAGGAGGAAAGAAAGCAGGATGATTCCCAACACTCAAATTCCTGATCTGGCTCAACCAGACAAGAGAAGAATGATCTTGGGAATGTCCTTTTACCTTTGTGACACCTAGAGGAGGCCTATCTGCCTTAACAACTGATTTGCAAGGGAAAAAGGGAACTGGAAACATTTAGAAAACACAAATGAAAGCTGCTATTATTATCATCATTATTACAACCTGTCACACCAAATCAATTCTGTAAATCCCAGCTGGCAGGTAAATTCTTTCAGGCCACAACCACAATTTTTTTGTTTGTTTGTTTTGGACCAGCTCCTGAAACTTTCAGTGGTGAAAGCTTTTCCACCTACTCTATCCTTCTTCTCTACCAATTATTAGCAAAGCTAGGGCCACCTGTCCCCTCCCTCCCCACAAGATTGGAATTAGATGCCCCATATTCACAAATCTGGCAAGTTGAATACCCTCCCTGGAGTTGCATAAGGTTTCAAACTACCCTTCACATGCCCAGAAGCAAAGATCTCATGCAAATCAATGGCTTCCACTATTTCAAAGCAAATGACTCCAACTGAAAATATCTTTACCTAGGGTTTTCCTCTACTTGTTGTTTTTAATGCATAACTTCTTATCTGTACTTGATTATGCTGGAATAAGGCTATGAATATTAATGGTTGGAATTTATAATTTAGTGCTGTGCCTTTTCTGCTGATTAATTCAAGGACATTTTATGTCTTAGGAAGCTAGGTTCCTGGAGTAGTCAAACACATTTTCCTGGACTCTCATTTAAACTTAGAATATTTATCTACCAATTCAGGTTGAAAGTAGGGTATCAGCCTCACTATAATTTTTGTTTTAAAAGATAACTATATTGGATGCTGAGATGGCTAAACTTAAATTTCTCAGGAAAACTTATTTTGAATCTCTCAGTAAAGCCAGAGCTCCTTGTAAATTAATGAAATTGTGTTAAATAATGCATAATGTGATTAGGCCTTAGCTTGGACTTCACCTGTGCAGAAAATAGGAGGCTTTCTAATTGATTTGTAACTTGGCTAAAAAACTGAAAGGGGTCAAAATTGGAATGCTAAATCACTTTGCTATTGCCAGCTCAGAAAAAAGACACTCTTTAGGGTAACTTCCACTGGCCGGAGAAAAGCAATTAGCAGAAGGTTTGAGTTAGGGTTTTAACCAAGGCTGAAAGACCAATTAGACTCGTTTCAAATTACCAGAGAAACTTTCAGTGTTGATCTAATGCTGTACACACGTAATGAAATACTCTTTGTGAAAGACTAGAAATACCAAGAAAGAGAGAAAGAGAAAAAGAAGGAAGAAAACAAATTGTAAATATATATATGATATGATATACAGCAATAGAGAGAGAGGAAGGGAGAGAGGAAGGGAGAGAGGGAGAGAGAAGATATTGGGGAGAAAGAATGGGGAAAGAGAAAAAGGAGAAGGGAACATATAAAAGTAAGCAACAACCAAACGGAATCAAAAAACAAAACAGAGGAAGAAGAAAAGAAAAAATTGAGAAAGAAAGGTAAAGAAAAATTAGAAGGGCTTCACAAAAGGGCAGACTGAGCCAAAAGGAGTAAGAAACAAAGGAAAGCATTAACGGATTAGGAACAGAAGAAAAGGTGAGGTAAGAGAGAAGTAAAAGGCCAGGGATTTAGCTCATTGGTTCTGCCACCTGCCTCATAAGCACAAGGACCTGAGTTCGATCCTCAGTACCGAGAGAGAGAGAGAGAGAGAGAGAGAGAGAGAGAGAGAGAGAGAGAAAGCTCATGAGGATGGAGAAGAGGAAAGAAAATGAGACAAAGCTGGAGGAAAGATCTAGAGGAAAACCAAAGGAAAGAAGAAATAGCAAAACCAAATAAAAAAAAAAAAACAGGCTTGAGATTTGCAAGGGGAAAACTCACAGCCCCTTTCTGACTGTATAAGGGCCACAAGCCTGAAATGAGTGCATCCCTGGTGTAAATAACCTCAACCTGGCTTTCTTGCTGAGCTCCCATTGTTCCCTGCTGTGTATGCTGTAGAATAAACACTACAACAACCATGGCATACAACACGCCATCTTTGATACAGTAAGGAATAAAATGTTTATAATGTCCTGAATAAGAACGTGTTTTGTTTTGCTTGTTGGTGTGTCATTATCAGAACATTTTTTGAAAGCACTTACTTTCGAGAGCTCCATCTCAAACTTCTGGGAAAGGACATGAGCTGTGAATTCCAAGCGTTCCACTCTGACCACAGGGAAGGTGGTGTCTGGCATGGAGACAGAGCACTGGCAGATCCCACGGTCATTCACAGAGCCGGTGAAATTGGAAAATGGCTGTAAATAATAAGGTGAGCATCAGTAATGAGCTGGAAAGTGAGCCCTTTTGGCAACAGGAGTGACAGGAATTGGCTTGTCAAAGGCTTGGAGGCAAGCAAGTGGAACTCAAAACATGAATAGGAACAATCTAAAACCGCTGTGTTTTCAGGAGGTGGTAACTATAAAGAGTTCAGCTGCTTCTCAACTTGGATTAAATCTCTAGTCAGCAACTATTACCAAAAGGAAGATTCTCCACTCCTGAGAAATCTTAAAGGTAATTCTTACTGTCTCTATGCAAAGAAATGGATATAGAGATGGGATGAGAGTTCTAAGTTTGAATATCAATTCTACCACTTACTCTAGGTGAAATTCCCTTGAGCCTCAGTTACTGCTTCTGTAAAAGATAGATGCCCTGCTCACAGAATTCACCCTCAGGATTAACCAAGTAATGTTACTCAAGTCCCAGCACATACTAGGTGACGAGTTCCTATCACTTTCTTTTTGCTTCTATTATTCATTTTCTTTCCCTCACCTTTACCCCAGCCTCAAACCAGATTCTCCTACTTGGAATGAGAAAATCATCTAGGATGTGGACTATGGTGAAAAAATATAATGTAATTCGTATTCTCCTCTTGGATGGGAAATTGTATAATTAATAGTCTTCAAAATGGAAACAATGAAGCCATTTTCTAAAAACTAAGCGGTGTATGAGTTTGGAGATTTTGTGGAAATTTTTTAAAGTAAAAGTTCTCCAGCTTATCACTTGCAGAAAAGTCATTTTAAAATATTTGATTTTTTGTTTAAGATGTTCAAGCTCACACTTCAGTGCCACTGCATATTTTAAAATGACAGGTTTGAAAGATCCTATTTTTCTTTTGTCCCCTTTGAACTACCCAAGGGGATCCTGGCACAATTAACATTTTTTTAATTACTACTATTGCCTTAAAGAATAAGTCGTGGCAGCTGAATGGCTGTCCCTTTTAAATATCCCATCTGAAGGCCACCCCAAAGCTCATCTGTGGAGCAGCAGGCTGAGGAGCTCAGTAAAACTACGAAGGAGAGAACAGTAGCTTTCAGAGTTTGAAGAGACTCAGGCCATGGCTATCAAGGTTCAAGCCATCTGACTACAGTTGAGGTTGCATGTTCTGTGTCTACCAATCTTTAAGACTCACAAACAACTTGGGCCTAGATGTCTCTGTAATCAAGACCTCCCAGCCATCAGCGACCTCTGGAACAATTAAGGATTTTGCAATTCAGTTTTTTGAGTTTTGGTTTTTGTTCTTAGTTTAGCCTAAGCTTAGGATGAATAAAAAGAAAAGAAACTGTGTACCTAAAACCCTCCATGACAGGTAACTTCTTAATATTGGCCTCAATTTTCTTTTCCAATGACATCCCCTCACCTGTAGGAATAAAACAGCAAGGAGGAGCGACAAGCAGGCTTATGCTAAACATGGGGTGGAAGAGGGTTGGGTTAAAGGAGAAAGGTCTTTGCCAGGGATGAATAAGGACTGGACAACAAAGATCAGCAGTCTGTCAGAGAGGCCAGCTTTTCTTGGACCCAACTCTATTACTCCCTCTAAAGATAGAAAGACTCTGCATAAAGCATGCTAAGTCTTTTACAGAAAGAGTCCACATATCACAAGCTTTTAAAGAAATAGCTTATTATAATAACTGTCTAGCAAAAACAAGAAAAATCTTGCCTTGCAATTGACAAGGGGAGGTTAATTGGCTGAAAAAGACAGGGTTGGACCATTCTTAGAGTGCTCTGAAAAGCTCTGTCAACTCAGGAAGTAGTGGATATATCAAGCAGTCTCTAGGCAATCAAGAAGGAACCACTAGTTAACAACTTTTTGTCCTGAAGTTCACCTGAAAGACAGGCAAATAATTATAAGCCCTGCTGACAGCCATTCCACTGATTTCTATTGAATGTCTCAGTCCCAATGTTGTGGGCTCCCTGCTTCTATCCCGCTTATCATCAGTCCAGTGTGCTCAGCTGACATCAAAATGGCCCATAAGTTTGATCAGTGTCTCCCATTAGAGATATTTCTGCTCCTTGAATTCAAAGGCAATGAAGCTAATGGTGATGAGTCTGTCTCTGTGGTGAGTGCTTAAACTCTACATGAGTGTAACGTGGGGAATGGGAGACAAAGACAAGTGTTCGTCTCCTTGGCCTTTGGAAGGATATATAATCCCCCTTGTGTAAGGCAAATAGGACCCTGAATGTTCCACAAAACATCATATGCAGCTAGGTATCCACTCAGCCTATGATCATTTAAAATTTACCAGTGTTTACAATATACCAGACTCTGGCATGAGAAAACAATTAAAACCAATTTCTGTCTAGAAATTAAACCCATTATCACTATGAAAGCCTTTCGGAGTGGTGTAGTTTTCTTTTTCCCTTTTTTCCAACTGTTTCCACAGCCTGACATCAAAAGCACATGACTGTGGTTTGTACAGTTTCAGTTACTGTGTGGAGCAGAGCAATGAACTGTATCCCTGTCTGTGAAATGAGGACCTGAAGGACCCTTTCTTCGAAGACAAGTAGAGTATTCCAAGCACTACAACTGAAGGTACAAGTCACATTTGTGATTTAAGATTGCAGTTGGTTCTAATTAGCACCCAAGTCTAAGTGCCCACAAAGATTTAAGGCATAAAATAATGGTACTCAACATTTTCAAAGTACAGAAGATGATACGTTTGGAACTTTCTCAACGACACAAAAGGGTTTTCCACCATTTTCCAAAGAGCTCATCAAGCTGACAGCCAGACTCAGAAAATTAGTTTTATAGTGGGATTGACACTTAGTCCACTATAACAAAAAAAACAGAGGTTAGAGTTGTGATATTGGCTCACCAGAGGGAGATAAGTAAACTAGGAAAGAAATCTCTAAGTACAGTTTAACTACCATTTCTTACCTCCTTTTAAATATTTGTCTTCTAACCAGACAAGAATTTGGAATTTCTCTGTATCTTAAACTCTACTTTATTTTCTATTATTTTAGTTAGTGATCTCACTCAACCTTAGTGATGAAGCTCCATAACAAATTTTTATTAACTTCACTATAAAAAAATGTTAGAGTTCTAACTATCCCCAGAAATTGTTCAGGGTCACGGGACAAAAATATACATGTGATTTCTAACTACAAAGAATTCTTGTGCATATTTATGATTCCCAAAACTTTCTCCTCTCTAATATGCATCTCTGGAAATAGAAATAGAATACTACATAAAGAGAGAGGGTGTTCACTATGCACAACCTCAAAATGAGTTAAAACTTGGGTGAAATAACTAAATTAGCACAAGGAGACCTCTATGCTGAACTACATAGTTCTCCAACTTGTGACTTCAACAAATGACTTCACCTCACTAAGCCTTAGTTTTAATATCTCTGAAGTGGGGCAATTTATAAGTAATGCAGTATTATATAGACAAAGAAGAACAAAATTTTGTCATTTTTCAAGAAAATGGATAGATCTGGGGCTGGGGATTTAGCTCAGTGGTTCCACCGCCTGTCTCACAACTGCAAGGTCCTGAGTTTGATTCCTGGTACCAAACAAAAAAGAAAATGGATAGATCCGGAGACCATCATACTGAGTGAAATAAGCCATTCAGACATATACGGTATGTTCCCCCTAATATGTGGAATCTAAAAAAGATAACAGGAAAGTAGAAAGGAAACTACTATTTCACCAGAAAAAGGGAATAAGGGAGAGGGAGGTAATAGGGAAATAGATATGAACGAAATACATTATATGCACTGAAATTCGCCCAAGAAATGTGAAAATGTGGGAGGCAGAGAAAGTGAGTGATGATAGGGGGATGAAATGATCACAGATGCCATCTGCATGCACAAATTTGTCAAAATGAAAACCATCAATCTGTATGACCAACAAAAAGGAGTGGAAAAAAAAGAATAAAGGAACAAAACTGGAAAAAGAGCAACAATAAATAAAATAGGTCTATTAATTCACTTGCCTCTTAAGGTTAAACAACATATATTAATCTTTGTACTTAACCTAGTCCCAACATCACTTAGGTGCAGAGTAAATACTATTGCTGCAGCTCCTAGCTAGGTCCTACCCAAGTGGCTTGTTAATCGCCAGCCACATTTTCATTACCAACACATTCCTGATACTACAAATGGAAACAGCCTCTTCCTCCCCTGCTCCCGTTTTCTCTTCCACTCAGACAGGCTCATGTGAGTATGTAACCGCCTGAGTTGTGAGAAGAGCCTCGAAGTGCAGGGGGAAGAACTTTGATGGAGCTGGGGTCCTCTTCCCCAAGCAAGGTACATGGCAGCAAGTCTGACCTACGGTGGGTCGCTGCTCGCGCCCTCTCGCCTCTCTCCTCCTCAAAGCCTATTCTCACTTCTTTAAAGAATATCCAAAGAGGATAAATCACCCAAGGAAATGGGCCCACAATTCGTCCTACACAGGGGTCTCCACTAGACCAGTCCTTCCTAATGCATGGTTTTTGTTGGTTTGGCATGTTGCTGCGGTTGTCCAGCCATAGAAATGGCTCTAAGGATTTCCTATAAGGAAGATTGAAAATCGTTATTATTCCCTCAGAAAATGTCCACATGGAGTGGCACTTTCCAATAACTCTTCTGCTTTATTTCTGTTACCCATCTTCCTTACAAACTAGAAGCAGAAAAACTGCCAGGACTCCCTCATTCAAATGAAGCTTTCACTCCCTGCAGGTCTATTGTTCGCCATGGGGGAGTAGGATGTGGCCCTAGACAGCAAATCAGCTGGAAAGACTTTCCTGGAGCTTTCCCTTGCAGAATCCCTTCCCTAATAGTTTCCATCTCATAGTGCATATTATAACCACCTGGGGAAAGCTTTTTAAATATTTGTAATTTTTAAACATCTGATCTATGGGCAGGACCTGGGCATATGGACTTTTAGAATCTACCTGACCACTAACCTTAATGTACAACCCAGTCTGAGACAGTCTTTAAAGCACAAATTCTCTCTCTCTGAAGCCCCCAGCTGAAGAACTGGGATATTGTCCCTCTTGCTAACAATTTAATTATTCACACAGTTTCTAATTCATTTCCAGGACACCTGCAATGAACAGAGAGCATCATAAATCTTTTAGAGTGCCCAGGTCCAGCCATCCGTGAAATACTATTCAAGTCCCCAAAAGGCAAGAGGAAGGGAATGAACATAGCTCACTGGGTTTCCTGGGACTTCTCACCTGGGACACAGCACCACCTTCTGCCCAAGATGAGGCCTCTGAAGCTTCCCAAGGAACTGTCGTCGAACCTTCAGGATAAGCAAAAGTTAGAGGCAAGGAATGGCCAGAGGTAATGGGTACCACACTCCCAGAAGTAGGACGGGAGGTAACGGGTACCACAGTCCCAGAAGTAGGACCGGAGGTGACGGGTACCACAGTCCCAGAAGTAGGACCGGAGGTGACGGGTACCACAGTCCCAGAAGTAGGACCGGAGGTGAAGGGTACCACAGTCCCAGAAGTAGGACCGGAGGTGACGGGTACCACACTCTCAGAAATTGGGCCAGAGGTATCGGGTACCACACTCTCAGAAATTGGGCCGGAGGTAATGGGTACCACAGTCCCAGAAGTAGGACCATAGGTCATGGGTACCACACTCCCAGAAGTAGTACCAGAGATAATGGGTACCACAGTTCCAGAAGTAGGACCAAAGAGGAACAGAGAGGCTAGCAAGAAGGCAAGTCCTTGAGTCATCTTGTCCAGTTAGCTGGAGTCACTTGCTTCTGCGCAGAGACCAGGGACTTCTTATAGTGCTCAGTGAGGATTTCCCAACGACAGTTTGTGGGGAAAGAGGAAGCAGCCAGGGAACACATGACCCAACCCAGGAGGGTCAGGACACTTAGGTACCTGACTCACATCCACACCTGTCACTGAGCCCCACTCTGTGACCTGCTCTTAGATCCATATTATCCCCTGACAAATATTTACTCAAATGTGCTTTATCAAGCCCAAATCTGGTGTCCAACATGTTACTTCCTTGTAGGAGATTGGATTGATGTATTCGTTGTGGTTGAGATAGAGTTCAGAGGTGCCAAGAAGGAAAAGCAACCTTTGTTCTTTTGTCTAGAAGCACTTCTAAGTATCCCCTCCTATTTTACTGAGGGCTGCCTTCCTGAGAAAATGGGGAGACTTGCTTTGGAGATGGTAGCTCTCTCCCAGATCTGTGTGAAGCTCCCTCTTTGGTTCTCACTGTCTAGGTTTCCTCTGACCTGTCCCTCACAATGTCTGCCTCTAAATCAAGTTCTCTCAAAACCCCACTGTGAAGGACAAATCAGCAGGGCTTTGTTCTCTAGAAATCTAGATAGTACTCTGCACTATGTGGCACTTACTTCTGAGAGCCTGGTGTAAGGAAAGGAAATATTCCAAGCAAACAAAGAGTACCCAGATGACCCAGGGCCTGCTCCCTAAGGCCCGGGTGTTACCTCAGACTCATTTAAGGAGGCCCCATGGTGAGCAGTTTACCTCCCCAGCAGTCCATCTGACCTTCACTGCCCCTGCTTCTCTTGTGAGCTGGACAGGCATTGCATTGGCGATTTCAGGAATGCGAGTGAGGAATAGGAAGCCTTCTCTCTTACCGAGCTCCCCTGGCCATAGGCATCAGGCTTTATTTACATCTGTCTAATACTTCACACACCTTTGTGATATCTGCTTCCTGCTGAGTGAAGAAGGTACTGACCTGAACTTGAAATGCAACTGAGTCCCTCACAAGTCAGTGTCCTTGGCCGTATCACTGAGCCTCCTCGAAGGGTTATACGAATTTCTAAATTGTTATAATTAAATAAAATATCATACTGAAAGTTGCTTTATAAGCTTTGAAGTGCTATACAAATGTCAGTTTTTTGGCTTCATGTTTAATTCCCTAAAGCCTGGATCAATATTAACGCTGGGTTTCAAACAAGGAAAGCAAGACCCACTCCATCCCACCACATTCCAGGAGCACTTTGAGAGACCTGGGTTGAAGGGTTCTTTCACAGCTTGGTCACTTGGTCACTCAGTTTATTCTCAGAATAAACATAGCGCTAATGTGAGCACTTAGGTGAACTCACCAAAGTTGAACTTCTTCAATAGTTGTACCACACAGGAAAGAGATCCATACAGTTATCGCCTTCATTTAATTCTCCGGTTATTAAAAACCAATGCTCAAACAGAACCTTAAGCCCTCGGTAGACTTATTCAGATACTCAGGAAAGGAGGCAGGCAGGAAAAATGCAAGTAGATAAATAGAAGTAAAGGAAGGAAAAGACATAGGGAAAAAGGGGGAAAGAAAGGCAAGTCTATCTCATTTGAGTAAATCCAACGTCACGCTGGGCTGCATCCTCAGTCCAGGAGCCCTCAAAGTCCCCTGACTCAGAAGCTCATCTGGACCAGACTCCCCAGCTTCAAGGTCCACATCAGCTCAGCCACACTGGCTGATGTTGCCACCTTTATCCACTCTCCCCAGCTTTTAAGCCATCCCAGGATATCTTCTCAGGCCAATCTTTTTTGGGAATAATCATGTGGATGTGGGAAGAAGAAGCAGCTAAAAGAGGCCCAGAGAGGACAGAAACGCTTTTCTCAGAAGCTTTCTAGGAACAACAGTTTTCACCCACATCACCTACTCCAATGGCAATCTGGGGTGAAAATAAAGGTCAGCAATGGATGATTCACAGCCAGCTGTGACAGAATAAGAAAAGTATTTGTAAGCCCTGTTTCTCATGTTCTGCTCTATGTAGGATTGCTAGATATAGCAAATGCAAATATAGGTAGCTCATCTCAATTTGAACTTTCAAAAACATAACAAGTTTTAGTATAAGTACAGTGGTACCTTGGTTCACGAATTTAATTTATTTCACAACTTTAGGGAAGATGGCCATGTTTGTATTTGTATGAGGAAGATGGCCACAGTTGTGTTTGTCACCCAACATGGAGTTTGTGAATGGAAGAAAAACTTTCTTGAACACTTTGGTTTGAGACCAAATTGTTTGTAAACAGAAGCATTCATGAACCAAGGTATTACTGTATGTCCTATGCAATATTTGGGACATAATTACACTAAAATATATTGCCTATTTAACATTTCAGTTGAACTAGATATCCTGTATTTTATCTAGAAACTCTACTACTGAAACAGAATGAGGACTCTGAAATTCATTGTTTCCTATTAAAAGCGATTCAACCATAGTCTCTTTGGCCTAATGTTCTCCCTTCTTCAATGCCTAGTCCAAGACTAGGGAAATCACAGGGCATGTGCGACAATGAAAACTGGCACACTGAATCCATTATTCTGAGACTGAGTGCTATGAATATGGATGGAGAGAAGAGAGCATGTCTCTACATCCCATCTCAACTCCCTTCTTCCTCCTGATTCCCATCAAAGCAAAGGGCAAAATCTGTTCTCATTTGTTCATACCCTCTGCCTATGACTATAATGAGCTTTCCTTGACCCTTTTTTTTTTCAAAGAACAGAAAAAAGGGAAAAAAACTCATTAACAATGGTTGCCTGTCATCATGACTACATCTGAGGGCTTCAGTGGGCAATCCTTTGGAAGATCCCTTACCTGAGAGGTTGTTCTGCATAATATGGGACAGCACTTCTCCCCAACACAAAGGTACCTGAGCCAAGAAAACGACTACCCCACTGTGCTCCTAAGCTGCTTTGTTCCTGTATGTATCCATAGTTTCCAGAATCAAACTTTAATCTCTTCAGTAGGCTCAAATGCACAAAAGCATAGCAATGCTTCAGTAATGAGATTATTAATAATAATAGTTTGATCAGTTTCTCTGCAAATACCTTTGTGTTGAAAAACAACAAGCTTCCTGCTATTTGACAGCCTCAAAGACCAAAAAAAAAAAGAAAATGATCCAGGCTGCAAAGCAAACAGTGTTTTATTTATAAAAATGTATTCCAACCCTGGGCTCCCTCTAGAGTAAGAGGTCACTGAAATTCACCTGAGTAATATAGCATTCTTCACTGACAGATTGAAAGAAAGTTACTATTTATTTAGCACTTAGGGAGAACAGTTGCAACACACAGGAAAGATATCCATATAGTTATTGCCTTAATTTAATTCTCCTGTTACTAAAAACCAATGCTAACCATGCTGCAGTACTGTCAGATACAGTTCCCTTATGGGTACCTGATTTATACAAGAACAATAGATGATGTGGTTGGTCTATAGATCGACAAGGGAAGCTGTGTCACTGTGATTGATTATGTCCCCAACTACCCTCACATCTTCGTGAAGTGTCTTTTTGCAATACCAGTAAGTCACATGTAGATATGGTAATGAATTGACACCATTCATTCACTCTGAGAAGCATCCCTTAGTTAACAATATGTGTTAGTGTATACCATGTGCAAAGTATCAGACCCTAAGATGAGTTATAAAGAAAGGAAAAATTTGCTAAAGAAAATGTCTAGTTATTTAGAAAGGACAGGTCACTTCAGAAATATGCTGGGAGTAAAAACAACAAACTGAACTCAACACCAATTATATGACCACTGAAGTCCATAGTGACCCAGCCCAGGTGGGTTAATGTGTGAAGAACTCACCAGTGGTGAACTTCCTAGGATGAAAACTATGGCCTCATCTATTTCAAATCCTCAGGACCTAGCCTAGTGCCAACACTTGGTGCTCAATAAATATCTACACGCTGAGTTATATATTTAATAAACAAATGAACACATGCATGGAATCAGTAGATTTAATAAAAATGTGAAAGAAATTCATAACTACTGGAGAAAACACACATTGCTTAAATAGTATTGGAGAAAAGGAAGAGAATTCCAAGCAAGAAAAATTTCCTGAGTAAAAGAACTCAGACAAACCGACTTCACTGCAGGATAATTATTATGCCCGTGCCCCTGCCACCCCTAGCAACACATCCTCACATCAGAACTGCAAAGGTTGCCCCTCATCCTGACTCAACCTCCCAATTTAACTTTCTAACTCTAAAAACTTCCTATATTGGAAACTACTTAGATGTGATCATCTCATCATGGCTTAGTATACTCAAATCTCAAAGAACAGAATTTTCAACTAAATATTTATATTTTCAATCTGCAGCAAAATCATCATTGGTGAGAGAATGCAAAACCGAACTAGCAAATGAGGTAACTATAAGAAACCAATGCAAACTCCTGTGCAGATCCTAAAAGACAATAACAGGAGAGTTAAAATGTTAACTGGGGTTGGGAAGAAACATTACATACTCCACAGATGAACTCTAGACAAATGCACGCCATTAGACCTCCGAAAACTTTGTCAAGAAACACACTCCACCCCCACCACCAGGGCTGAATAAACTCAGGAGACATCAAACCTCAGGCTCATCTCTGCACCCCAGCAGATGAAATCTGCCCAGAAATCTAGAAGCAAGGACTGTCCCCAAATTCTTCTCACCATCTCCTGACTATTGTACTGAGACACTCTTCATTTTGCCACAAAATGTAACAGAATTTTCCACATTATTTGGATATTATAAATCATTTGGCTATCCATCAAAGGCCAACTAACTTGGTTTCTCCAAACGGAAGCTAAGTGTTTTATCTTTTTGTTAATTTGCCTCATTGCCAAAGTCTCTTTTTGCTTCATATCCAAACTTCCTGAGTTATAATATCCAAGTTCTTAGCAAGGCCTATTTTTCCATAGTTAGATGTACATATCTAGCCCTACACATTTCTTGCTGTGAGATACAGGCAAACTCTTGTTGAATCTACTATATGAGATGTTGCCTGGAAATGCTCACAGTAACCACTAGAGCAGCGTTTTTAGATTTACTTATGCTGCATTCATCAGTTTTCCATTACTGTAATTTTAAAAAAACACCAGAGATAATAAACTTTAAAAAAGGAAAGTTTAATTTTGACTCACAGTTTCAGAAGTTTCACTCCATGGATAGTTGGCCCATTACTATTGGGTCTGTAGTGAGGCTGTACATCATCGCAGGGAAGGTGGGGTGAAGCAAACTTCTTACTCTATGGCAGCTGTAAAGCATAAGAGAAAGAGGAGGAGACCAGTGTCCCACAATCCCCTTTGAGGATACACCTTCAATGACCGAAAACTTCCCACTAGGACCCATCTTTTAAAGTTTTTACCGCCTCTCAGTGGCACCAATCTGAGAAGAAAAACTTTACCAAACAGGATTATAAGGAACATTTCAGAACCAAACTATATTGCATACCTTTTACTTTTCTGTGTTTTCTAGTTCCTGTTCTAATTTTCTCAAGCCTTGGGCTAATGAAAGTTTGTGTACCCAAAAATGTATATGTTGAAATACTAGCCCCAAATATGATATTAGGAGAAAGGGGTGTTGGGAGTTAATTGGGTCATAAGGGTAGAACCTTCATGATGGACATTAGTGTCTTTATAAAAAGACCACAAAGAGCTCTCAAGCTATCATTCTACCATCTAAAGATGCAATGCAAAGTTAGAAAAACCTAGAAGAGAGCCCTCACCAGAATCTAACAAGATTTAATTTTAGATTTCTAGCTTCCAGAACTGTGAGAAGTAAATTTCTGTGGTTAAGAAGACACCAAGTCTATGGTACTTTGGTATAATACAAACTAAGACACTGCAGATATTAGCCCAAACAAGATTTACGAATTCTGTACTTTATACTTAAGAAAAGTCAATGTAATAAGAAATGCAAAGAGTGCAAAATACCGAACAAAAACTATTGCATCTACCAATTTCTTTGCTAGGTGACTTTGGGCATAAAAATACATCATAACATGTCATATCTGAGTTTTATAGAATAGTAACCACTAGCCACATACAGCTAGCTATCAAACACTTGAAATATAGCTAGTCTAATCTATGTTGAAAATAATGTGTGTGTGTGTGTGTGTGTGTGTGTATATATGATACATGTTATACATATGCATTGGATTTCAAATATTCAGTGTGGTGAAATGTAAAATAATTGATCATACATTGAAATGTATAATATTTTAAATACCTCGAGATAAAATATTTTATTTAACTTAATTTTACCTATATTTATTTTGTAATTATTAAATTTTTATTACATCTGTGGCCTACACTGTATTTGTGTTGCACAGTGCTACACTAAAGCAAGCAGCATGACTAACTATGATGGAGAAGTATCTGGAGATTACCAGAACAGAGGAAGTTGTACCAAACATCTATTTCTAGGAGGTTAGCTAACCAGGTGGATTGCTGTCAGTAGATTTCAAATTTAACATTTCTTCACAAGTGTTAAATGCTACTGAAATTGCCTCCAAAGAGCCTCAAGATAAAATTAGAAAATTGTTTCTTCATCTCATCTTAAAAAGCTTATCACATGAAAGAAATGAAAAATATATCATTGAAACTTGAGACAATGTGAAAAAGTCATATTAAGAATTATCTCTACAAAAACAGTCACTAGATGATTTATTTTCACCTTCATTTTTAAAAATTGAAAGATTTCACATAAATTTCTGTGTTTGGGGGTCCTTTGGTAGAAGAAAGGAAGATCTCATAACACCAAGCCTACATCCCCCATGACCACAGTGATGTGGATCTAAGAAGCATCAGCTCTTCTACATACACACCCTTGACAAGTTGCTATAGTCCATGCCAACCACACCATGTTCCTTTCCTTTATATAGAGACCTGGCTAGTCCATATAGATCTTATTGTTTTAAGATATTAAATTTGGAGAATTTGCTTTTCAGAAGCAATAGCGATTTTAAAAAGTAAAATAAAAGAATAGCCAGGTATGGTGGTGCATACCTGTAATCCCAACACTCTGGGAGGCTGACACAAGAGGATGTCAAATTCTAGACAGCCTGGGCCACTTAGCAATTTAGTGAGACCTTGCCTCAAAATAAAATTTTTGTGTAAGTTCAATGTGAAGGCCCTATGTTCAATTCTCAGTACCACAAAAACAAACAAAGTAGAAATTTGGATATTGCATTCCCCCTCTTTCATGGGGGAGAACAGCATAATGTTAAAATACAGTACCAAGGATAATTATGCTGTATCACTAAGCTTAGATTTATAAGTTCTGGAAAACATTTAGAACACAATCAAACAAGTTTTAAGCTGCTATTTAAATGGAAAAAACCTTAATGAATCATTAAATGAAGCAATGGCCAAACATGTGCACCAAATTTATGCAAATAAATTTCACAGAACTACCAAATAATTCAACCTCATCTATGATTACATAAATGTCACGGAAGAGGGCTATTGGCTGGTCCTCATCTAACAATCTTCACCTTGTTGGGCTATGGCTTGTGGATATGACTTAGCCTGTCAGACACCTGGCAAAACAAAAATGTGGGGACCGTGTTAAAGAATGATTAAGAATTCTAAGACAGTGACAGCAAAGAGTTAAAACAAGGGAGAGGTCCTTTTATTTTTTTTTATTAAGTTTATTGGTAAACAATGCTGTTACATTCATCATTGGGATCTTGTACCTTTATATGATGTATCTTGGTTCTTATTTATTTATTTACTTTAGATGTGGGGGCCCTGTGTGACCAGAGCTGTATGGCCATAAAGCTCAGCCTTAGCTACAATGCAGCATCTAATCAGCTCTAGGGATGCTAGGAAAGTCATTCTGGGTGAGGAAAAAATCTCAAAATGAGACTTGAAATGTTATTTCCTAATCTGTATTATCTAAAACTGGATTGAGCAGCATCAGATTAGCAGAGATACTCTTGGAGCTGCCACCTGTGCCCATCTAGCAGCAACTGACGGCCAACAGCTAGAACCTCAAAGACCCAGAAATATTGTGAGGAGAGCACCCGAGGCTTCTCTGATTTAATCATGCTTTTAAGAGTTTTGTACTTCAGCTACTATGTAATTGCATTGTACAGCTTCAGATTTCCTTAGTGTATACAAATCTTGCTACTATACTTCAAGTTAAAATGACTAGTGCTTTGAAATCATCATGAAAATTAATATTTAATGAAAAGTTTACAAGATGATTTTTAAATAAGTACATTTGTAAAACATTAACCTGAATTTTTTAAAGTTTATTGCTTAGTTATAACCCTCTGGTGATGAGACCAACCATTATCAAATACAAATAGTGTATACCCCATCCTGACCCTGCATCCCCCTCCCTCTCTCTGGAAGAAACTATTTAGTTTTATTATGCTTGTGCATGGTTAAGTTTTATTTTTTATATGTATATATAGGTGTTTCCCTCTCTCTCTCTCTCTCTCTCTCTCTCTCTCTCTCTGTGAATGTTTGGTTTTATTTTTGGACCAATTGCATTCTCATTTCCTTCATGAGCAGAATAGAGAAAGGAATATTCTATTGATAGAACTGTTCATTTATTTACAAACATTTGATGACTATGTTCTAAATGTCAGGCACTGTTGTAGATGCTGGAGGATATAGCTAAGGAACTAGAAGTCCCTGCCCAGATGTGTCTAACAGTTTATTTGAGACAGAAAACAGACAATTAGAGTAATAAAATACATAGTATGATGGATTATACTGTGTCATGGGAAATGAACACAGTAGGAAAGAGAAGGCGGGGAATGTGTGGGGTAGATGCTGCGTGTTAAAGTAGGATAATCATGGAAACCCTCAGGAGAAGGGGACGACCGGGTAACATATTAAGGTGGTAAGGAAGAAGACATAGGGCCATCTAAAGGGGAGGAAGTGCAAAGTCCTGAGGTAAGTATTTCACCTGTCTTGAATGACACAACAGGGAAGCCATGAAATGAAGTACAGCAGAGTAGTCTGAGGTCAGGGGAGTGACACTGCATAAGGTCATTAAGGTCGTTAGGATTATTTAGATTTTACTCTAGACAGGTAGGAGTCATGTGAGTAAAGAAGCAACATGGTCTGATGTATATTTTAATAGGAGCACTCCGCCTGCTCTGTAGATATTTGTCTGTGCTGAGCCAAACGGGGGGAAATGGAAGTTATGTTAGAGCCTTCTAAATTAGTCAAGACAGGAGATGATGGATGTTCAGCCCCAGGTGTCAGTACCTGAGATGATAAGACAAGGCCACATTCTGTGTGACACGTGATATTAGAGATGAAAACATAAGCTGTGAGCTATGAAAGAAGAGAGGACTCAAAGGCAACTTTGAAGTCTTTGCTCTTAGCAAATGGAAGAATGAACCTGGCCAAAGTGGTGAAGACTAAGAAAGGAGCACATTCTGAGAGAAAATCTAGAGGCTTAGTTGGGGAATATGAAGTGGGAAGTGACTTTCAGACATCCAAGTGAAGATGATATTTGCATAGTTGACTCTATGAGTCTGGAATTAAGAGGAGACATCCAGACTCATAATAAATACTTAAGAATCGTTAGCATAGCAATTATATTTAAACCCATGAAACTCAGAGAACTCAGCAATGGAGTAAGTATTGATAGAAAAGAAAAGATACCTATGATCTGAGATCTGAGAGGTTCTAAGATTAAAAGTCAGGGAGACGTAAAACTAACAGCCAAGGAGACAGAAAGGAACTGCCCGTGAAGGCAGAGGAAAGCCAGGCAAGTGTGACGTCCTTGAAGCCAAATAAAAAAGAATTTCAAGGAGAGAGCAATAGACAGTATCAAACGACTCAAATGGATCATATGTGATGAGAAGACTGGGAAATGACATGGGATGTATACACACTTGGGTCTCGGTCACGGTGACCTTTAAGAAAATGGTGACAACGGAGGAGGCATGATGAAGAGATCCATAGGGAACAGAGTGAAAGAAATTGTAGATCTCAACATGGGCATCTCTGAGAAGAGTTTTGTTTAAAGAGGCATCAAATGTAGAGACCAAATAAGTTAGTGTGTGAAAGCACTTTGAAATTATAGAAGCACTATGTAAATACTGAATATGATTGTAAGAAATGACACCTGCTGTTTACTTATGATATGGCTTTCAAAATGTCAGTTAGTCTGGACAATCACTGTGCTTAGTTAGTTTTATTACCCGCAAAAGATCCAGACCTTAATAAACTCATGGCAAGTCAATAAATGGGAGTTCAAAGACTCCTTGCAGTAATAGGCTGGGTC